GGTTTACTCTGTTGGTCACATCTCTGGTGCCCATTTTAATCCTGCTGTCACCATTGCTTTTGCCATTACCAAGAGGTTTCCGTGGAAACAGGTGAGCTAACCAAACCAACCCATGATTTTATCTTTTCTTTTGAAATTGGTAAACTACACAAATCTTCTTCCCGATGTTTGGTTGTTCTCCATATAAAAAATTGTGTTTCTTCCTGAACAAGGTTATTTCTAAGCAAAGACATCATTTGTTCAACTCAAAACACCAATCAGATTTATTTCAGTCAATTTATTGTCAAATTAAACTTATAGATGGATGCTATATCATCACATTTCTCTTCCCAATTCAATCTATTCTGTTTTGATTTCCATAGGTACCGGCTTACGTAGCAGCTCAAGTCCTTGGATCAACACTTGCAAGTGGTACCCTAAGACTAATATTCCAGGGGCACCAGAACCATTTTCCTGGAACAATTCCTACTGGAGATCCCTGGCAATCATTTGCGATTGAGTTCGTTATCACATTTTACCTCATGTTTGTTATTTCTGGTGTTGCCACAGATAACAGAGCGGTAATTACTTCTTCTCCCTCTTCGTACCTCAGCATTTGACAACATTGGTCCAAATTTACCAATTAAAATACTTGACCAATATGGTTGATTAACCAACGAGGGTTGGTGTTTAATAACTTGCTTAACTTGTTAGACTAATATAATTGGATTTGGGAATATAATTATATCACTTAATTACCCTTAGTATATTCCAAAAAGTCTGCATCATATAATATTATTCATGTTAAACTATTACAGAGACCGTGACATGAGGATCTGATGGCGATCTTATCTTTCTTCTTTTGTTTGTTTATGCAGATTGGAGAGCTTGCGGGGCTTGCGGTTGGCGCTACGGTTCTTCTTAACGTGATGTTTGCAGGGTAATAACTTATTAATTAATATCCTCTAATCACACATATACTCTTTGATTAAACATATTCTTTGCCTAATAAGCAGTGTGGCATATGGTTTCCCATTTGGAAGTTATCAACGAAGTCAAATTAAGCACTTTGCATTAACCTTTGTGTGTTAATTAAAAATTAAGATATGTGTCTTAATGATTTGGGTGATATTTATATATATATTCTGCAGGCCAATCTCAGGAGCATCAATGAACCCAGCCAGAAGCATAGGACCTGCAATTGTTTCAGCCCAATTTAAGCACCTGTGGGTTTACATTTTTGCACCAACTCTTGGGGCTGTGTGTGGTGCTTTGGTCTATAATGTTATCAGGTTCACAGACAAGCCTCTGCGTGAGATCACCAAGAGTAGCTCTTTCTTAAAAGGCGTGGGGAACAAGTAACGGCTCTAATTGTTGATGAAGAAATTAGAGAGGCAAAAAAAGGGCACATTAACTAGTTAATTATGCACAAAAAGAAAGGAGAAACAAATCAAGATCATTTTTATGGTTTAAGCACCTTTAAATTGTTTTTTTTTTTTTTTTTCAGAAAGGAATGGAAATTTGAATTCCCTTGTTTGTATGTTACCATATAAATGTGCTATCTTCTTATATATCAAATATCCATTGATCGACACACAGGTTAAGAAATCAAAGTATATTTTTATGTCTTTGGAAACACATGTTATCTTGTTCACATGTCCTTACTATCTATCGTAGTATTTTATAATTTCTCCTCCTAAAGCAAATACATTTTGGTTACAACATGCTAAATAAAGTAAGTCTCTGGAAACACGTGGGGAAAGGAAGAGGAAGACAAGAGATTCAAGGAATGCGTTTTTAGTCGATAAGGACAAGATTAAAGTATTTTCTTTCTTTTTTGGTCAAAATTTGTAAAAGTTTTGTGGGTATGGAATCACATGAATCCTGTTCATAAATGGCATGAACATTTCGACTGTTTTTGGAAGGAAACGGATATACTCATCATAAGTCTATTTTAGAAATATTTTTATTAGAAAAGAGTCAAAATCTTTATTAAAAGTCAATAAATAAATAAACATGAAAGCAAATAAAAATAAAAATCAAAGCAGCAAAGCTAGAACAGTCAGCACTCATGTGCCTCATCGCTGACCAGCATGAGCTGTATAATGCTTGTCCCTACGTCTTATAATTTGTTCTATATCCCTTCTATATTATTATTACCTACGAAAGTTGGAACAATTCATGTTTCTCATGCTCTATGTTATTTTATTTCATTCATGATTTTCAACATCTTATCCAATGTTTTATCTACTTCCCTCTATCTTTTAAGAGGATCATTTGAAGCCTTCGACTGCATTCTGTGAATGCAGTTGGGGAATTACCAGTCAGAAATAGCCCCAGTACAAGAGAGAGAGAGAGAGAGAGAGAGAGAGAGAGAACCAAGTCCATGTAAAACACCCTTACAACCATACCATGGTTTTTGTTGATTGAAATCTGAATAATGAAAGACAAAACGGTTGTTTTTGGCGCAGGAAGTGTGTAGCCCAAGTGGTTAAGACATTTGCCCAGAACAGAGAACGCCTCTCACTTTCCATTGTTTGGCAAGACAACAGTAGAGTGACCTGAAGCAGCAAAATGAAAACATGTTCTGATGCAATGTTTGATTGTTATCACCTTTACTGTCACAATCTGAA